GTGAAACTTAATATCACCTTAGAGAGGAAGTTCACAGGCGTTCTTATAACATGCTTGCAGAATATTTCAACGTTGAAATTCTATCCCGTCACGGAATAATTATTTTCATATCGATAAGATTATCATTACATATTATCGATAAGAAAAATCGATTGCATCGATTGATTCTGTATTTCTTTCTATTTTTTATTTCTATTAAAATATACCTTATTAAACATTTTTAGCTCTATTTATTTTAATCAAGATCAAATTATTCAATAACTAAACAGCTATTACGCCATAAAAGAAATATATATTAATAATAAAATAAAATACAATTGATATCAAAAAAGATAATAATTCTAAGACTGTAAAATTTAAAATTTAAAATAAAAATTATTTAAATTTATCAAGAAATAAGAAAAAGAGACTTATCAAAATGTGAATATATTTAGTAAATATTTATATATATATATATATATATATTTATATTATGTTATATATTTATATATTTAGTCTCAGAAATTTGTAGGAATGATGTAAACAATATGAGCAATGATATTTAGTGATAATAAATAGAATTTTTACTTCATGATTTTAATTAATGTATTATAATGTCTATTAATAAACATGTTAATAAATTTAGTAATGATAATAATTTGCACATACGCATACATACATTTGGTTTACTACAGGTGCATCGGAGATTCATATCAGAGTTTGTCTAATTATTGTAAGATATATCGAGAAAGTCGCACGTGATACATTTATATTAATAATACCGCGCTGATAAAAGTTTTCGCGATACGTTACGCTTAATGAACGCGTGAACTGTCACACGGGCATTATGCATGAAAGAGTAAAATATGCGTTAAAGCAAAATGCTACGAGGCGGAAGCGGATATGACAAGCTAGAAATCCCACGTTAGATAATCATCTTTTTGCAATTTTTTCCGCTTATTATAAAATAAAAATAAAATTGAAGGCGAAGTGAAACGTATGGTATCTCGATGACGCGTGTAATATAGCGTGCAGTAATAAAATAATACGTTTTGTTTACTTTTAAGATGCGCGAGATCATAAATACTTGTCGCAAAAACATCTATTCTATTAATTTCCATACCAAAACTGCGCTATGAGATATACTCGACGATGCATTGGGTGGTGTTACACAAAACTTTCACCCTGAAAGTAGTGGTCCCTCCCTTTCATTCGTGGGGTTGCTCCGTCTGTCAGAGGGAGTTGGAGCTTTTTGCGATCTTCGCTTCTTGCAGCACACGTCGAAAGTAACAATGGATGATATCACACGTGAAATTTAGGCGCGGGATATCAGCCGATGAACGATTTCGCCTGAATTTTGTCGGGCGGAAAAATTCTACAGGGTCGCGACGAACCTCGTTAGGAAATGCAAAGGTTATAGCCCGTGGATGGTGCGCGATCGATGTTGCGTCAGTGAAAACGACGTTCGCGGCAGCTGCGTCGCGCCGGGCCGCCGTCCTTGCCACCGTCGCGTCGGCGTCGTTACTGTCCGATCAGCACGTTCGAACAAGACTATTTATCCTACTACTCTGAGTCTTAGCTGCTTCTCATCATTATAACGTGTCCTTCTTAAGATTAAAAGTAACGACCGAGAAATAATGTTGGAAAATTGCCAAATGATTGTTAAGTTTGATTTGGGATACGCAAATTGACGTGATAGATAAAAATTTAATAAGATTTCATTCATAGGTTTCAATTTAATAAAGAAATTATATTAAATATGGCACTTGAGATTATTTTCTAGATTTTAAAAATAATTGAATTAATTATATATGTAGTACATAACTTTTTGGTTTGTTACATTATAAAATATTATAGCACACATGTTTGTGTTAATAATCGTTTCTGTAAGATACATAGATTTCATTTCATTTGATGAATTATTGGAAGTATTTCGTACAAATTTCTTCAGATATTTTAATATAAATAAAAATAGTTTATTTTATGATATGTTATATTTATTTTAAAAATTATTGTTTTGATGGTAAAATTATATTTATATATTTTTGATGATTTAAAACTAAATCAATTTAAAATATCTATAATCTTGGATTGGA